AAAATACAAGAGCACGTACATTTAATAAATGTATCTCTTTAATTTGGATTGAGATTGAATAAATGTAATTGACTATTGTGTTACTTGTAACTGTAATTCTCCTCTTGTTGGTTTTCAGAAATCTCGAGAAGCAAAGAAATTACCAGAACTCTCTCGCGACAGATTGGAAGCTTTAAAAAGCCGGAGAGAAACGTCTCATCTCAGTTTGTTTAGTTAGTTGCTGTTGTTATTGATCGAATTAGCTTTCTCTGCGCTGTGCATTACGTTCTATTTAACGTTGTAGTAATTTGAAGGATAACTACTGATTATTACTACGTGATATTTTGAAAACTTGTACGAATATCTCTGAGAAAAATTGCAACATTCTCTTATGTTTCTTTTGATAAGAATACATTTCGTTAACATTTTATCGGACTTGTGCATTCAATCTATTACGAACCCGTACGCACGCAACAGTAATAAAAAATTCATCATTTATTTTTTAAAAATATTATAGCGAAAGTTATTTATTTAATGAACATTATTTTTTCTCTTTTAACTTTGCTTTTAACATGTTAATGAAAGAGATTCTTCGTTTTCGTTGGCATGGTGAGCCACTGTGGACAGTGATTTTCAGTCATACGTTTTCATCTTATCCAGTTCTTATCAATCCTTTTCCTGTTTTTGAAATTTCAAAAATTTAAGCCTTTATTATTATAATCACTCGATCTTAGATTTAATCTTTCTCATAGCCGATTCTCTTATTGTCTTAAGCAAAAATATTATTTTGGTGTTTTTTTTTTTTTTTTCGGGGGCGCTAATCGCAGTCCTTCTTTATTCTTTATATTTTAACATGTTTCATTTTCAAATAACTAACAAAAATATCGGTTTAATTCTCTTATCACTGTTAAGTGTGTTTGGATGCCATCAAATGTGCTTTTTCGAACCTCGAAAATTCTCTGGGCACTGTCATTGTAGATAACTGCCCAAGTTTCTGAGGTGTAAGGAAGAATGGATCTAGTTATAATAATTACAGTTTTTGTAACAAATATTTATTTGGGAAATTTTTATAGTCCTGTAAAAATTAAAAATATTAGTATGAAATCATTTTTAATAAAAAAGAGATCTTACGTAATTAATTTATTTATACGAGAAAAAAATAATTTTATTTAACTGTCACCGTTTCCACGAGAAACTTGTTACCCGTCTAAGCGGCGAACTTTTCCGCAGATTTTGTTTATATAAATGTATAAATGAATTTATATACAGGGCGATTTGTTTCAGAGGTTGTTCTTTACTATCAAAGAATGTGCATTCATGAAAGTGTAAATGTAATATATAGGGGGAGGGAAGGAAGATGAAACTGAAAAAATTTAAGAATGAGTGCACTAAAATTCAACTTACAGTCTGATCTCATGTGATTTGTATTCAAACCTTCTTTGACTTTCTGGCTGGTTGGCTAAGTTGCCAGCAACTTGTTTCCGGTCGTGCTCATATTCAATTTGACTATTGTGCCTATTTGTCTAGAGTGATTTGTCTGAAGACAAGTTTCTCTGTGGAGATATTTTAACAAAGGCGATTCTTTGCAATTTGTTTCCTTGTGTTCACAAGCTTTGATTTGTATTGGTTCCATAAAATTTAAATAAAATATGTCTCTCTTCTAAAATAAGTCCCACATTTAATACATTGTGTTCCGAAATAATTCTCACATTTATAAAATCGGGTAAAAGGAAATAAACGTATTTTTCTGACAGGTTAAATATTTCATCTTAAGGTATATACGAGCCACTTTCCCTTAGAAAATCCTTCACGAATGCATCCCTCCCCTTAGGCAGATAGCCCTCGATTGCTTTGCCGGAATCAAATAAACTAAACCAATTTCATCTTAAGACAGCGTCTGGCTTTTAATACGACTTCAAGATTAATGCACCTTAGATTAAAAGCATTACATGTGAAGACAGCGCTTGCCTCCTATTTGGTTTCGGAATTAATGGGGGTTCGGGATGCATTTTTAATTCTTCGGACACAATCTTTTTTTTTAAACGTATGGCACCGTGTTCTAATAGTTCCATTTTCATTGTGCTGTAGCAAAGATTTAGAAATAGAAGTATATTTGAGTACTGTTTATCGTTTGCATTTAAGGTTGCTTGAGCTGAAATTTTTGTTCATTCTTTTTAACTTTCTGCGTTATTTTAAAATCACAGTGAGTGTGTTAAAATTATTTTTATTATTATTAAAGCCACTCTTTGCAGCATTAAACAGTAGTTGCATTTTAAAGATCTTTTTATACTGTTAAATGGGGCTTCGTTGGTATAGTTCATTTCACAACTGACAAAAATCTTTTAATATTTTATATAAAAATGCGCAAATTTGAGAGTTTAGTAAGGAGAGAACAATTAGTAACACGAAACTAACTATTGAACACGAAAATATTAACACTTTAAAAAAGAGAAAAACTGCTTATTGCTTGGAAATTGCTTATTTCGCGAATTTCGAATAGCAGAATCATTCGTAAATAATATAAACATTCGAACCTCTGAGTTGAGAGATTAGGCACCTGACAGAAGAATATTTTTTAAAATGTCACGTGAATTTTTTAAAAGTGAATTAATTATTTCTGTGTGTAGAAAATATGAATTTTCTTTCGCGGAAAAATAAAAAGATTTGACATCAAGTGTTTAAAAAAGTGCGTGAACATTTATAATTATTCTTCGCAAAGCGGACGATGACATGTGAACCCAGAAGAACTTTTCTTTGTGGATTTTATAGTTTTTCTTTAAAAAAAGTTAGCATTAACTTTTCATAAAAATCAGACTCCATTTCGACAGCATAAGGGTAACGCAACGAAAGATTCCTTTACATCACACGTGATGTTTGTGCGATGTCGGAATTTTTCATTCCGGTGATGATTTATATTTAATAATTTATTTTTCATTAACTGAGATATCTTGAGCAGAGTGCCAAAATGATTAGGAGAGAATGCGCTAACAGCTTTATCTCTTTTCTCTGCAGTTGAAGAGGCGACCACTCGATTGTGCTCGGACCGGACAGGTCGAATCGGGTCCGTTATTTTCGGTGTGCGTGTTACGAGGTCGAAGTCAGCTATTCACCTTTTCAACGTCCGACGAAGAAATTAGAATATTATTATTTTTTGTTTTAGCGCGAGAACTCTGTTTATTTTCCCCTTCTACTTCCTCTGTTTCTCGCTTAGGGTTTAGGATTAGAAAACTATTAAAGGCTTATTGATGTCCGCATTTTAAAATTTATATCTAAGCGACTCTTCACCTTTGGTTTCAGTCTACCTAAACCACATTAGGCCCTGAATGCACATTGTAGCTCAGTGTATTTTAACTGAAAATTAATTTTCAAGGAAACGTTGAGTAAACTAATAAAATGCAGTCTGCTCACTCACATTGTAGTTTAACATCTGGAAGATGCCATAAATAAGTTTCGGTAACCTCAGCCGTGACTTCATCGTTAGGCCTTCCTCCCCCGAAAAGGTTGTACAAAAATAAAATTGAAAAATCAGATTTTATCCTTGCAGTGTGAAATAGGGAAGCTCATTAAAAATCGATATTTTTTTTAATAATGAGAAATATTTGTTAGTATATGCATTTGCTGTTAATAAACAAAATATTTATTTTTAAGATAAACAAATCATCATTTGTTGTGCTATAAATAACAGAAAGTCGCGAAAATACTTAACCTACGTTTTTAGATGAAAATTGTACCTTTGCGATATAAGGAAACTAATTTAATCCCAGTAAAATGAAATAATGATGTTGTGTAGGTCAGGGTTTTTCAAACTATTGTACATGTACCACTAATGGTACATTGCATTATTTTTGGTGGTGCAGTTTTTACTCGAAAAATTTAAATTCATGTTCAAGATGAATATAAAATGACACATTTTTTTAACATTTTGTTTTAATCTTTAATTATTCAGATGCATATGCATATTTTTTCCTTTTCTGGCACCTTTCTTAACTTGGCGCGTATGATGTCACTCTGTAGCTGTAAATGCTAGTTACTAGTTTATGGTGGTGCACATATTTTTTTTATTTGTACAAAAATATTTTTTGAATAGTATGTAGTAAAAACTTGAAAAAGTTTGGGAATGGCTGATGTTGATAATTGGAATCTTTATGTGCTGCTGCAGCACTGTTTTAATATGATATAATAATTATAAATTTTATTATAACTGCTGTTATCAATATTTTAATTAAAATTTGAAATTAATGCATTTAATATTTAATACTGTTTATGATTTCGAGATAACCACAGATTAACCTAAAATTAGGATGGCGTTTATTAGTTTTTCACATTTATTGAAAAGAAAAAGGGGGACAATGGGAAAACTTGTTAAGAAGTGTCCAGCTTCGACGGATATCACTAGTGATTTAACTATTATTAAAATTAGTAACTGGGGGAAACTCAAGCCAAAAGGGAAGCGGAGTAGAAGAAAGCCTTGGCATACAAAGGGGATCCTTATGAAGGCCTTAGTCCAGGCAACACCTCCTAACAGAAGAGGAGGTTTTTTTTTAGGAGGAATTTGTCCAGCTTGGGCTGCCGTGCCAACAGAAATAGTAGCAGTCTCAGAAAACTTTTGACGAATCGATGGTAGCAAATGCATAGAATCAAACGACTTTAAACTAATAAATAATTTGAAAGGCGATGCCAATAACAAAGGTCTTGAATTTTTTTAGGATCTTTGCATACAATATATATTTTCGGGACGTTTTATGACAAAGGTAGCCAACTCCCTGTTAAAACAATTAATATAGTGAATCACTGAGATTTAAAGTATCGTTTCTGAGTTAATTGATAATTATTTCTGAGCCAGTTAAGCAATCAAGAACTGCACAGTTATTCATGACGTGATATAAACAGGTTGCAACATTTGATTCTTTGGCACACATTTGGCGACTGGGGCTGTATTAACAGAAAAGTATCTGAAAAAGATCTGATGTATAAATTACAAATATATGTACTTTTTTTTTTTTTTTTTTTTTTTCTTCCAGCTTCTTGGTGGTATTGTCCTAGGCACTATGATGTGGGTTTTAGCAACTACACCTACTGTGAAAAGTTTTTTTACTGGTAGTTTAGTAAGTGAATATTTTTCAGTTTTATTTAGTAAATGTAGATTTGAAGGTTAGATGTAAATATATTTTGTTTCAGTTACTTATCTTTCTGTTTATTAAAATTTATGATGCATTATGTTTGCTAATTTTTATTGATTTTCCATGTTATTATAGGTATTCACGTACATAGTATTATCTATGGGCTCATTACTTTTCATAAATGGTATGTGCTATTTTTTTATATTATAAAACAGCTGTAGTGTTGTTTTTTAAATGTTCTTTTTTTAAATCAATCTAAATAAAATTTTGTTGAAAGAAAAATAAAATGGCTAAAAATTAAAGTTGGAAATTAAACTTGTATACATTGGTCCATTCTTTTCTAAATAAATGTATTTTTGTTAGGAGTTGGTAACCAGAACTTTACTAAAATATATTAGTGTATTGAGAATTTTTTCACGAACGAACGGACGAACAAGTGGTAAACTAAACTGAACAAGTGGTAAACTTTTTCACGGACGAACAAGTGGTAAACTAAACTGAAAGAGCACTACAGTCAAAAGTCTTTAATCCGGAAGTCCATAATCCGGAATGATCTATAATCCGGACCTCAAAGCTACAAACTTTCTGCGCATGCGTAAACGCATTTTGCATTTACGCATGCTCATAATATTTTTACGCATGCGCATAATATGTTTACACACGCGCGTTTAATGTATAACAGACGGTATAAGCTAAGCTAAAATTATCTAATTATCTATTTCATTTAATGTTGCAGATTGCGTTGTCCCTTAATCTTCTAATTGGATCCAGCTTATTATTTTTTGCAGACTGTTAGAGCAATTTTATAAAAGTACGCTTGAACTTTCGATTATGTCAAAAAAAATTTCCGATTCTGGAGCTGCTGCAAAAAAGGGATAAAGGCATATCCTTTGTTTCTCTAACCATTCCAAAATCTGTTTATCAATTTCACGCTGCTCTGCGGGGGGGGGAGAAATGTTACGGTGTGCAATGAATTAGAAGTTGATCTATCAGCACTATCCTTATCTTCGGGGGCAGATGTTTTTATTTTATTCGGCTTATAATTCCTTACTAAATGTAGTATTTCATCTCGATGTACTCCGTCTTTGATATGATTTAAATCAAATTCCTCTTCATTATAAATATCACGAATACACATCAAATAGTTTTCTGGTTGCAATTTTCTAATTTCGACTATGCGTAATGTATGCTTTACGCATGCGCACGTTGAAAGAAATGTTTAATAAAGTAAACAAATAAATATTAAGCCTTTTTTTTTTGTAAATTTTGATACCCTTTAGATCATAATTGCTCTTTATTTCATAAATTATGGTTTCATATTTTTAATTTTATAATTTCTGCATGCCATCTTACCAGATTTAAACTGATGATCTATAATCCGGAAAAACCGATAATCCGGAATCGAAGTCCCGATGAGTCCGGATTAAAGACTTTTGACTGTATAATTTTATGTCGAGAGACATGCATCTTATATTATGTTCGGAAAAGAAAAGTAATCCTTCACTAGCCAATCGTATTTGGACATTTAATCATATTTTTTATTTTCGTTATGTGAAAAATTTTGCTAAAGATTCATTAATTGGTGATCTAGCTTTTGCATTCATAAAAACATCTCTTCTTTTGTAAATGGTATTAATTTTGAACTAGTTGTTCCCAATATTTTCAAAATTCTAATAATAAGTTCATATTTTTATGCTTAAGTACTGCTTTTCTGGGGACCTATAATTGAACGTACTTGTAACTGCTAAAGTTATATTCATATGCAATTCTAAGGCTGCTTTTTGCTTTTAATTGAACTAAAATTATGCAATACAAAAGCAAAAAGTTATTGCAAATTTTGAAATTAGGTAAAAAGCAACTTGAACTTGGCATACATTTTAAATAAAATTCTATTGATTTTGAGGGTAATTGGACACAAACTTCTTCAGAAACAAAACATCTTTTTGCAAAAGTGGGAGGAATGAGAATCCTTTTATCTGGAAAGCAATGGGCCTAGCAAAGGAAAGACAAATGCAAAATTAACAAAAATTTTTTTTTCCTTCTGAAGAAGAGAGATGATATATTTCTTATGTTCTTAAAATGAATAGGTTTTATTCAAAATCTTTGTCAAAACTAAGATTGCTTTTTCCTAATTTTGAATTTTACATTTCTCTTCCATTTAATATTTCAGATTTCTGCAAATTACTGCTTCTTTTTATTCTTCACAAATAGTGCTTTCAAGTTACATTGAGGTTTGCATATGAGAACCCTATTAGGACATTGACAGAATTTCAAGCAGCAATACAGTGTGGCCAGAAAAATCCTTTTACATCTGAACTAAATGCACTAAATGCATGCAACAGTGTAAGATGGGAAAGATTTAACCCTCATATCTTGATCATTGATATGACAACAATGTTCTTCATATGAATTTCAGTGTGGTTGCCATGTAACTGCCCAGAGAGGAGAATAAAGCCTGTGCATTGACCACTTCGTTATCTCGCCTTTCTGTGGTGAAGAGCAATGGCACTTCACTTTGGAGCACTTAATGACAAATGTGTGGGTTCATGAAGGAAGCACAGCAGGGGAAGTATGACATAAGTGATGGATAGGTTTTGTGAATGTTTTGTTAAGGAGCCCCTGAGTCATCAGATTTTCAGATTTTGATCATGTGGGGGAAGAAAGCTTTGAGTGGATGACTGAAAAATACATCATTGGTTCTTACCTTTGAAGGTTCCATGACCCAGGTTAGTTATCCAGAGATGCTGAATGAGTGGCTTCTTCAGCAGCTGCAGAATTTGGGCATAACATGATTGTATGCCAGGTTGATGGAGCTCCCGCATGCTTAAGTGTTTGCTGTTTATGAAAGCTTGATTGAACTGTTCCCTGGCTGGTGGATAGAACCTGGGTCCCCAAATTCATCAGCACCTTATCCTTGGCCGCCTAAAAGCCCAGATCTTACGATCTAAGTAATGCCCTGTGAGAGATCATCAAATCGTATGTCAGAAATAAGTGGTACATGACAATGATGCTGTGTGAGAAAGTGTGCTTGAAGTCTTTTAGTATGTGATACCACAGCTGTTACACTATAAGTGTTATGAAAGTTAGTGAAAAAATTGTGCATGTAATTTTGGCCAATGTATAAGAGCATAGGAATGATAGATATGAAAATGACTACATTCAGTTCACATAAATTTGCCTTCAGGCAATTTTGGCATGAAATCTGTCATTATAGAAACTGCAATATTTTATTTTTAATTTGCAGATGACCAACAATATTATGATAGCTATTTCTAAAGTTTTTTTTTTTTTTTTTTTTTTTATTGCTTAGTGCGATTAAGCTGTGTAAAAGTTTTCTATGCATATTTTCTTTTATTAAATTTAATGAAAGGTGTTATTAAACTTAAACAGTTAAAAAATTAGTTTTATGTAAACCGTATTGAATATGGTTTGCTTTGTATGAAATTTTAAGCTCACAATGTTTGAAATCAAAATAGTTTTAATTCAATATTGACATGTTTTTCCACTGTCTTTATTAAATAATTCTTATTCTATTTAGGTATTCTGGGGTGGATAGGTTCTTACAAAAGAGGTACCTGCCTCATGAAATTTGTAAGTGCAAATTTTGTGTGTGTTTTTATATACCAGTGTATGTAAGTGAATTTAAAAAAGGTGGCTAATTCCTATAAATATTTAGACTAGGCTTTCATTTCTAATAGTAAATGAGTCATTCAGATATCTAATAATAAATGAAAAATTGTTAACTCCTAAAATTAGCAGCTTTTATTTTACAGCTGATTTTTAAATTTGCTCTAAAGAATCCTGAATTCATGCTAGTAAAAAGCTTAGAAAATTAATGCATATTAATAAATTTATTCTTGAATAGCTTCTTGAATTTTATGTGCAAGAGTATTGAACATTTTATCTCAGTAATGTCTGTTGCATGTTTTTATTGAATAAAAACTGTATAACACATCAGATTTTATTGTTGCTGAATTCTCCCTGTAGTGTTGTGACTGTTTTCTCAAAACTCTTTCCCTAACTTTCAAGAAATTTTGTAACTAGAAGTTATATGGCTAATATTTATGAAGTGAATCTTATAGCCACTTTTGAACATTTTAAATTATTTATGTGTATCAATTAATATATATGTAAGATAAAAATATGTAAAGTAAACTGCTAATTTTAATTTGCAATAGTCCCTTATATTCCTCATTTTAATTTGGACATTTCCCTTTTCTGCTGTAAAAATATTAACTGTTTTTGATATATCAATCTAAAGTATTTCATTAGTCCCTTTTCCTTGCTTTGCTTCACTTTTCTAACATGCACCACTCACTTTTCTGTATCATCGATTATCTGAAGATGTGTTAAGCTTTAAAAAATGTGTGGTGTATATTCCAACCATAATGATATGAATCAGATTATACAGCATAACAACTAGTTTTATAACCAATAATAAAACTGTGTAAATTGCATCGACATCTGTCTGTTAGTGTCATCTTTCTCTCTAAGTTATATCTACACAATAAACCATCTCCAATTTGTTACTGCGATCTAAAAAATTATACATATATTATGCTATATTAGCATAATTTAGTGAATTAAGAAATTAAAATTTAAATTCAGTGAATTATTTTTACATTTAATGGAACTATTAGCTCAACCACCTGGGTGTAGTTTGAATAATTTATAGAAGGAAAAAGGATGACTTATTATTGAAAAAAATAATTTCTTAGATTAGTATATTAGATATACAAGATAGATTACATAGTTATATTTAGATTTGTATTACTATTAATATATTATCTGCATAGGGATATTTTTCATTTCAATTCAGTATTCATTCCAGAAATCATTCACTAAATTGACTGTCAAAAGGGTTTTCCCTTTCTTGAATTTGGTAAAAATTTCATGGCGAATAACTTAAAAGGATTCAAAGTTTTAGTTTTCTTTGGCAATTTTGCGGTAAAATACTGTATTGCTATTGAAATTTTATCACAGTTTCTTTTATTGCAAACAAACTCTATAAGGGCAAATTTCAAAATTTAGTTTAAAAGATAAAATATTATACTTCATCTATAAAAACTGTTAGAACTTGGAATACAACAAAAAGAATGTGTATGAAAATCTTGAGGTCTCTTATTAAAACTGAAATTGTTATGCTTGTGGTTGCCATAGTTTATAGCATTTTGAAAATTTTGGCAGCTTGTGCTAAGGTGGTTGTGCTAATGCATGAACATCAAAAAGTGTATTTGATAGGCATTATACACATTTAAAATTATTGTGTTTTAAAAAAATCATAATTCAATGGAGAAAATTTGTTCTTAAAATTTTCTGCATAGTCTATAAGTTATTTTCTTCCTCCTTTCTGCATGCCCTCATGTAACGCTATAAGGTATTTCTCCCACCTTCTTTAGCATACCTTCGTGGTGTAGTGGTCAGCATGCTCGACGCATATTCAAAAGGTCTGTGGTTCAAGTCCTGGCAAGGGCATTGCTAATTTTTCATCTATCTCTCTTGCTTTTGAAATAACCTAATGTCTCTACAATGGTAGCACATATTCAAGAGGTCTAGGTTCGCATCCAGGCGAGGACATTGCTCATTTTTCATGTCTTCTGCTTTAAAATCCTGATGAATCTACAGTGGCGGCTGAACTAAAAGTTGGCAGATGATGATCCTCCACCACCAGGATTTGGAGACTGGATCCCCTAATCCCCAGTTGCCCTTTGAAAGGGGGAGTATATAAGGTATTTTCTCCCTCCTTTCAACATGACTTTGTGGTGTAACGGTAACACACTTGGGCCGTGTTCAAGAGGTCCAGGTTAGAGTCCTGGTGTGGGCATTGCTCATTTTTCATGTCTTCTGCTTCAAAAAATCCTAATGACTCTACAAGTCTAGCAATAATGTATTTAATTTTAAAATGTTTGTGAAATTTATATGCTATGTCAAAATATTTTTTTTATTTAAAATATAGTATATGCATTTTATAAAACTAGTTTACTAATTTTAATATTTCATGCTAGTCACAATATTAAGTGCTAATTATTAATTTATATTCTTAATAAGTTAAATACTAAAAGGTATTATCTTTTTAGATAAATATAGCAATTAGTGAACAAAAATGAATAAGTATCTCTGACAGGCATTCTGTATACATTAAATAGTTGTTGTTTTACTATTCCATCATTCATTTTTAACATAGTTTTCGCTTTTTTTTAAAGATTAGATTAAAATTTTTGACTAATATGCTTATAAATTTTATTTGTTCCAGTATTTAGTTCTGTCAGTTTTAACAATATCAGCAGAAGTTGGAGGCATAGTTGCATTGAATGTTCTTAGAATGAAAGTAAGTTCCTTTGTGAATCGTATTAAATTTTTATTGGATTGTATTTTCAAATTACAGATATTTTTAAATTAATAATCACTCCAAATTAGCAAATTGTGCTGTAACTTTATATATAAATTATTGAAAATTTATATTTAATTTTCTGAAAACTGCTATTCCTGTTTTAAATTTGTTTTAAGTGTTGATTAATATAAATTGTGTAATAAATTAATTTTGGAGAAAATGCATAATTAATTAAAATTTTTTTGAAATAACAGTATTGTCTATTTTTTGAATAACTGAAGCTGATTTCTTGCTTGCTTTTTAAATGAATAAAGTGAATATAATGATTCTTATTATGTTAAACTACTAACCTCGATTTTTCTTTCATCATCAATTACAGAAACATTTACAAATAAAATTTTTATTCAAAATTATAAGTTTTATGTTTATCATCCAAGTATTCAAATGTTCAAGTGGGGATTACTATCATTTGCTACAACCAAACAATTCTCTTACAACTTATGTTTGTCTTGTAACTTATGTTTTAAAGATTTTTCTAGGCTCGGAGTAATTCCTCAAACTTAAGATTCCATTTGTGTAGGGAGAATATTTTATTCTGGAAATAGTCTGATGAAGCATTTAAATGATTTGATCATTATATACCAAAAAGGAAATGTAAAATAAATACAGTGCTTTTTCTCTTTTCAGAAAAAGCTAGCTGAACAAAGAACTAAAAAATTGCATGTGTTCTCATCATTCCATGCTTATAAACCTTTTTAAAAATATGTGCTGTTGAAATTATTAGATTTTTTTAGAATTTAAGTCTTCAACTTCTCAAGAATTTTTAACTTTTATTTTTATATCGATAAATTTGAAGATAATGTGCCTGTTCCTGTTTTGAAATGCATTAGGAAATATCTGTTTACATTCCGAATCTTTTATATTTATATCATATTTGTACAATAGAGAGTAATGAGGCGGCATATCTAACAAAGTTCTACAATGAATCTAACTGTATCTAGGTTTTCTACTTGGGAGGTTCAACAGTATTATGTCGAAAAGAGTTTCCAATTCTGGAGCTACCAAAGGATCTACAAAGCAAAAGCATGTTTTGATGACCATTTAAAAAAAATTGGAATTGCTGCAAAAAATGGATAAAGGCATATCCGTCTCAAAATTATGCGAGGAGTATGGCACTGGACAGTCAACTGTATAAGACATTAAAAAAAAAAAAAAAAAAAAAAAGGAACTTTTGGATTTTTGTGGATTTCGACACCCTACTTGTAATGAATAACAGAAAAAGTGTTCGTTATGCTAAAAGTAACGATCATGACAAAGTGATGATTGAATGGGTCAGACAGTGTCGCAGTGAGGGCGTGCCCTTGATGGATCCAATGCTAATGGCTCAAGCCAAAATATTTCATAAAGAAATGAACTTAAACACTGAGTGCATATATTTGACAGGTTGGTTAACCAAATTTAAGAATCACTATGGTATAAGACAATTAAAAATTCCAGGTGAAAAAGCTTCAGCTGTTACTGAAGCTGCTGAGCAATTTGCAGATAAATTCATTGAACTCATTACTTGTAAACAGTTATCTCCAGAACGAATTTACAACATTGATGAAACTGGTCTTTTCTGGCAATACCTTGGCGAACTACCTTGGCAACCTCTAGAGAAAAGGCTCTAACTGGTGTCAAAGATTCCAAAGCAAGACTAACAATTTTAGCATGCGCAAATGCTGCAGGAACGCTCCAGTGCAAACTTTTCGTAATCGGAAAACATGCATGACCTCGAGCATTTAACTCCTTAAGAACAAGTGCCGGGAGAAGAAAGCGCAATCACGGGACTGGACCCCCTGAATTGGTTCATTGTCACTGGCCCGCGCATTTTCAGCAGTTAAGCCTAATATTAAAAAAAAAAAAAAGTGTAAAATCTTCATTTTGATATTATGACTTCTTTTTTTGAAGTTGTGTATGTAATGTACTTGTTTTTAATGTGTAAAAGAATAACACATTAGTATAAATAAATTAAAACAGGCAAAATACTAAAATCATAACTAAAGTACAAAGTCGGTAATGCGGACTTGTCGGGACTTCAGTGATTCTTGATTAGCCGTTTTTCCGGATTTTAGATCATCAATTTAAATCTGCTAAGATGGCATGCAGAAATTATACAATTAAAAATATGAAACCGTAATTTATGAAATAAAGAGCAATTATGATCTAAAGGGTATCAAAATTTACAAAAAATAAGCTTAATATTTATTTGTTTACTTTATTAAGCATTTCTTTCAATGTAAGTTGTTTAAGTTGCTTTGTTTTTTGTGCTAATACTTTCTCTTTAATTCTATAAACAGACATAATTTCTTGTTCAGTTACAAAGTTCCAGTGTTCAAGTCCTGTAATTGCTGTGTTGAGAATACCCACTAACTTGTCACTTGAAATTTTTTCGTTTTCAATAACCTCTCTGTCACTTTCTTCACTATCGGTAGCGGTATTTTCTAGATCTAGAACCATATTACAGATTTTGCCATTCGTTGATTGATGATTGGAGTATTGTCGTTGCAATGAAAAACTTCTGTTATATCATCTTCATTTATTACCGCTTCTCCACATTTCTTTACAAAATCCAGTAACTGGAAATTTCACCTTTATTTTGCAATATCTGAAAACCTTCAAATTTGCGGCTTTCGTCTTAATCGTTAATGGGCCATTAATTATGCCAAGCATTTTTAACGTATCTGGAGACATATCCCCCCCACGATCTTGTGATGTTCCACACAGCAGATTTTATGGTAAAAAACTTCAAAAATTCTTGAATAGTCGTGCCATTCTTCAAGAAATTTAACATAGATTTAAAAAATGCTACTTTATATTTGCATTTCAGCACGTGTACTATTCCCATATCCATAGACTGAATGATAGACATACAATTTGGACGGAAGAATAATAATGGATACATTAAATTTCACTAAAACTTTTAAGTGAAATAATTGCCTATCAGTTGTTAACAATCAGGACTATTTTGAGTCATCAGGTAAACCAACCGAATTCAAATGTCGCCAATCCTCGGGTATAAAATCATTCATCAACACTTGTGTCATCCATGCTCTTTTATTTGCGCGATATATAACGGAATCATTACTCCTTTAAATGCTCGAGGTTGTGCATGTTTTCCGATTATGAAAAGTTTGCACTTGTGCATTCCTGCAGCATTTGCACACGCTAAAATTGTTAGTCTCACTTTGGAATCTTTGACACCAGTTGGAGCCTTTTCTGTAGAGGTTGCCAAGGTATTTCTCGGTACATATTGCCAGAAAAGGCCAGTTTCATCAGCATTCAGCGTTGTAAATTTGTTCTGCAGATAATTGTTCACTAGTAATGAGTTCAATAAATTCATCTGCAAATTGTTCAGCAGCTTCAGTATCAGCTGAAGCTTTTTCGCCTGAAATTTTGAATTGTCTTATGCCATGGTGATTTTTAAATTTGGTTAACCAACCTGTCGAATATGTGCACTCAGTGTTTAAGTTCATTTCTTCATGAAATATTTTGGCTTGAGCTATTAGCATTGGACCCGTCAATGGGACGCCCTCACTGCGATGCTGTCTGACCCATTCGATCGTCAATTTAGCATAACGAACCCTTTCTCTGTTATTCATTGCAAGCGGGGTGTCGGAATCCACAAAAAATTCAAAAAAGTTCCTTTTTCTTTTTCCTTATGTCATATACAGTTGACTTTCCAGTGTCGTACTCCTCACATAATTTTGAGATGCATATGCCTTTATCCATTTTTTGCAGCAATACCCCTTTTTGTTTGATGGACATTGAAACATGCTTTCGCTTTGTAGATCCTTTGGCAGCTCTAGAATTGGAAACTCTTTTTGACATAATCGAAAGTTCAAGCTTAATTTTTATAAAATTGCTCTAACAGTATCCAAAAAATAATAAGCCGGATCCAATTAGAATATTAAGGAACAGCAGAATCTGCAACATTAACTGAAATGCCTTAGAATCAGTAAAGATAATTTTAGTCTAGCTTATACCGTCCGTTATACATTAAATGCGCATGCATAAATCCATTACGTATCATGCGTAAAGCATACAAAAAAAAAGTTTGTGGCTTTAAGGTTCGGATTACAGATCATTCCGGATAATGGACATCCGGATTACAGACTTTGTACTGTACTATTAAATATAATTGTTTTTCAGTTGCATCAAACTGGCTTAATCATTGATTTATTTTGAAGCATGTATTATTGTCTTAATGTGCTATGTTCAAAATGGTTTCTAAAATTAAGATTTTTTTTCCCAGATGACTGATGTTCTTAGCACAGCATGGGGAGAAGTAAATCAAGTAACAAAAAATGTTGTACAAGAACATGTAAGATATTTTTTCTGTCATACTATGAAATACTTGTCAACTGTGGTTTAAAAATTATCCTTTCCTGTGTTGTAAAAATCAAATTGTACCTAAAATAACTGCTTTTTTCACTGATAAACTGAAGCATATACAGTCAAAAGTTGTTAATCCGGACTCGTCGGGACTTCAGCGATTCTGGATTATCGATTTTTCCGGATTATAGATAGATCATCAGTTTAAATCTGGTAAGATGGCATGCAGTAATTATAAAATTAAAAATATGAAACCGTAATTTTGAAATAAAGAACAATTATGATCTAAAGGGTATCAAAATTTACAAAAAATAAGCTTAATATTTATTTGTTTACTTTATTAAACATTTCTTTCAATGTAAGTTGTTTAAGTTGCTTCGTTTTTTGTGCTAATACTTTCTCTTTAATTCTATAAACAGATATAATTTCTTGTTGAGTTACAAAGTTCCGCTGTTGAAGTCCTATAATTGTTGTGTTAAGAATACCGACTAATTTGTCAATCGTAATTTTTTCGTTTTCAATAACCTCTGTGTCACTTTCTTGACTATTGGAAGTGAATTATAATGACGAGGAATTTGATTTAAATCATATCAAAAGCAGAGTATATCGAGATGAAATATTAAATTTAGTAAGGAATTATAAGCCAAATAAAATAAAAACATCTGCCCCCCTGAAGATAAGGATAGTGCTGACAGATCAACTTCCAATTCATTGTGCGCCGCGGTGTCGCCCTCCCCCGCAGAGCTGATAAACAGATTTTGGAATGGTTAGATAAACAAAGGATTATGCCTTTATCCATTTTTTGCAGCAATTCCACTTTTTGTTTAATGGACTTCGAAACATACTTTCGCTTTGTAGATCCTTTACATATTAGTAAATATATATCGGAAATTCTATTTGGCATAATCGAAAGTTCAAGCTTACTTTTATAAAATTGCTCTAACAGTCTGCAAAAAATAATAAGGCGGATCCAATTCAAAGATTAAGGAACAACGCAATCTGCAACATTAACTGAATTAGATAATTTTAGCTTAGCTTATACCGTCCATTATACATTAAACGTGCATGCGAAAACGTATTATGTGCATGCGCACATGCATATTCGCAGCCGTAAAGGTCTTACGCGTCAACGCGACGCATGCGCAGAAAGTTTGTAGCTTTGAGGTCCGGATAAATAAATCATTCCGGATTATGGGTGTCCAAATTAATGACATTTGACTGTATATATATGTAATGTTTTCAGTTATTCCATCACATCGTGGGCGAATGGTGAGGCTATTCCATTATACGTTCTGGCAGATGGTTGACGAAGCTGGGATGATTGAAGTATGGAGAAAAATGACGACTCAGGACTTTTCACTTTTAACAGCAAGCATATCTTTATTTTAATTTATAGCAGATGACTTTTTCCAGATGAAGTTAATCAAATAACTTATTCAGTAATTGAACTATTAGATACGACTGACTTTAAACTTTAATACGTCATAACGTTCTAACAAAGAAAGAGGAGCATAGCAGTAGCGTTAGCAGGACGAAGGCGAGAAGGCATCTGTCTAGGAGAACTTATGACGCAGCATTTATATGAAAGGTTATGTAACAGAGTAGCTTCTAGAAAAATGTAGAAAAACTTATGACGCAGCATTTATATGAGGAGGTTATGTAATAGGTGTGAATGTTCTAGAAGGTACTGGGTTAGGGGACGATCCTGAATTGCAGAAAATTAATTAAAGGTTGCTGGTTCGCAAAGAGCAAAGCCATCGTATTTTTTTTTAAAATTTATTTTTTACATCTCCCCCCCCCCCCCGTCAAAAAGAGAGGCCGGGGTGAGAAAAGCATTAGTACAGGAGTGAAGCAAAAGTATGAGAAAAGACATGAAAACATCCAGAACATAGCGTACAAGCTTTAACTATGGCCTATCATAGTTCATGACTTTCTCATATAAAATTTTGACTTTATAGCATATGAAATTTTGAACATTAAACAATGAGTTATAAATAAATATACAATATATGACTAATTTTAAGACTATAACATAATAAATATGGAATACTGATAAATAAATAAGTTATAATTACAAAAGTCCTCAATTTTGTTAAAAATGTCCATTTTGTTCTTTGAAAGTCCTTTTCATAAAAAGAGTTCGAATAGAATGAAAATATCTGGTAAAATCTCTAAATGCCAGATAGTCCACAAATATGATGCATGTTGATAGACACAAATATGATACATTTTTTACTCTCATCGTAAAGATTGACATGTTTTACACTTCAATACAAAATATTATACTTATTCAAAAAACAATTGAATATAAATAATACAATTATACACTAGAAAATGAACACTTTGACTTTAAAACTATGGCATGTCCTCGCCAACAGATCAGCGTGATTACTTGCTGATGGGTGGGGGATGGGGTGCTAGGTACAAATATCGAAAAACCTCCGTTGCCTAATAGAAGGTAACTGGTTTTTGGCATTGTACATTACCTCAAAGTGGTTTTAGAAAAATAAAAGATCATATAAAATCAAAATTATAAGACGGATAACTTGTATAATCAAGTTAAAGTCTTTTTTATAATGTTGTAAATTAGAAACAAATATTATTCTACAATAAAAAGAAAATTTTTGCTACAAAATAATTCAAATTATGTGAAAAAGATAAAAGGTCAAGATCGGGAGAATAATTTGTCATAGTCGGGAAAATAACTTGTCATAGTTAGGGTTTAAGTCTAAATCAGGTATTAAAGGTCATAATCAGGAAAATGTTTAAAAGAGAATTTTTAAAAAATTAATTTTAATTTTGAACAGAGATAGGAATTCTACTATTTCGGACAGTTAACTTAAACTCACTTGCTGGATTAAAAGGTCTTAATCTAGTTGAATGAACAATTTCTGATTTCTTTTTAGTTAAAGGATTAGGTTTATCTATTTCATAAGTAACTTCAGAATATTGTTTTAAAATTTTATAAGGTCCTGAGAATGGAGGAGATGATTTACGTGTATTAGGGTATTGAAATTCTTCATACATTACTTAAATCACCAATTTTAAAATTATTAGGTTTAAAATGAATATCATATCTTTCTTTATTTACATTATGATAAACATCAGATCTCTTTTGAGCTATTTTTCTGGCTTCTTCTATTGACGGATACAATTCTTGATTTTGAATTAAGGAATCATAAGGTAATTTTCCATACATTAAATATGATGGAGGGAATTTTGTTACAGAATGAGGGGTATTATTATACTCTTCAGTTACTTGGGGTAATAATTTTGTCCATGCTATATTACCGTGATAAGAATTTAGTTTGCATTTTAATCTAGTTATAATAGTTTGATTAACACGTTCAATTTTACCATTAGTTTGGGGTCTATTTGCAGTAGTTAGCAATTGTTTTACATTATGATTCCTTAAAAAGTGCTTAAATTTTGAAGATGTAAAAGCAGCGTTCCTATCACTTAAAATCTTTTTAGGGACCTGAATTTGGAAAATTTGTTTTAAGCAATTTATATAAGTATCTGTAGTTACACTTTTGGAAGCAAAAGTCCAGATATATCTAGTTGCATGATCAATAATTATGTGAATATACTTTTTAGTAGAATTATAATAATTTAAACCACCTACAGTATCAATAGATAATATTTCAAAAGGTTCACTAACTGATGGTAAATTTTGCATTAAACCAAATTTCTTTTGTTTACTTTTCTTATTAAACTGACATACTTCACAATGTTTACAATAATTTCTAACATCTTGAACAATTCCTGGCCAATAATATTGTGGAGATAACAAATTTAGCATAGATGATACACCAATATGACCAAATTGTATATGGGCCTTTTCAAGTAATTTCGTACGTAGAGACATGGGTATCACAATTTTGTACAATCCCTGTTTTTTAATAGTTAAGACATCATTCATTTTCCTATACTTAGTATTACAAACATTATCTAAATTTTGATATTCTTTTATTTCTTCTAATGATAATAAATTAACTTGCAATCTTAAATGTTGACACATAGGATTTCTAGAGAGCATGTCAGCTTCAACATTAGTAGATCCTTTTTTATATTTTATATCAAAATCATACATAGATAATTTTAAAGACCACCTAAATAGACGACCAGTAGGGTGTTTTATATTTTTAAGCCAAACTAAAGCAGCATGATCAGTATGTACAGTAAAATGGTTACCATGTAAATAATAATAAAATTTATCAATTGCATCAATAATAGATAAACATTCCAGCTCAGTAATGGCATAATTTTGTTCATAAGATCTTAATTTTCTAGAATGAAAAGCAATTGGATGTAAACTACCATCAGGATGTTCTTGTTTTAAAACAGCACCAACAGCTTCTTTGGACGCATCAACAAATACATGACAGGGATATTTAGGATTAAACAAAGTTAAAATAGGTCTAGAAATCAATGCATCTTTTAATTTTTGAAAAGCTTTTTGACATTCATCAGTCCAATTATAAGGAGTATCTTTCTTAAGTAAATTTGTTAATGGGGCTCTAATTTTAGCATAATTTTGAATAAATTTATGATAAACATTAATACTTCCTAAAAATCTTTGTAATTCTTTGATATTTTTAGGGGGTTGCAATTTCTTAATAACCTCTATATTTGCATTACTGGGCTGGTATTTACCTGCTTGAATTTCATATCCTAGAAAATTTATTTTTCTTTAGCAAAATTACATTTAGATTGTTTTAATTTTATATTCTCTTTCTCACATATATCAAATATTATTTTAAGATGATTTAAATGTTCATCAAAATTTGGAGAGAATACTATAATATCATCAAAATAATTTAAAGCAAATTGAATCTGATATTTGTTTAAAATTTGTCTAAGAGCTCGTTGGAAAACAGCTGGGGAATTTTTCCAACCAAAAGGTAATCTAGTAAACTCATACAGTCCAAAATTTGTAGTGAATGCCAATTTTTCAGTATCCTTTTCATTTAATTTTATATGCCAATA